TCTCTCAAAGATAAATCAAGTACTAAACTCACAAGCTTGAGTATCAAAAGCATACCTTAGACCTATAGGAGTGCCTCTCTTTTATAGCCAATACAATCCTAGTCCCAAAAGGAGCCTGTCCCTAATGACTTAGGATTACTGCTAATCTGGGACTCCTAGTGGGATTAGGATAAACTCTCTAAGAGTCTTATCTTTACCCAAACTGAAGTCTTCTCCTAATCTAGGACTCTTGTCCATATCCAAGTTGAGTTCCCTCTTCATTCTAGGACTCTTGTCTCTTATCCGCTTATCTCGGATTCCGATATCTTCGAAGGAAACCTCGGCCTAGCCGAGATGACCTCGGCACAACGACCAAGACACGCGGCACCTCGGCTGACACGTCGGCGTCACCTCGCCACATGTTGGTACTCAGAAAATATATCCCCACAACTGCCCCCTAGGTTCTATTACCTTGGCATTCTGAGGTGATGGAACCTACACTGTTCGTTCATCTGTGCCCCTCTGTCTGAGATCAAACTCGCCAACCTCAAAGTTTCCTAGACCTTACTGTCCACTTCTGTCAAGTGTATGTTTTCCAAGCTGCTCGAGATCATACCTCCTAGCCGAGGTTCTTGTTCCATTAATTCGTAAACTCCAAGAGCTTTGCAACTGCTCCACTCACACTCTCTGGTGAGTTCCCGATTTCCAATCATCTATTTGACTCCGGCGATTTTCATATCGACGTTCATTTCACTTTGTAGGTTCATAAACTCTTTACTTACTATTAAGCTCAATCTTTCATAACTCTTCTGATTTACTTTGAATCTGTTTATTTGTCATCTGTTGCCTTCTGTTCTCGTCTGTCTTCAAGTTTTTGATTTGTTTGAATGTCTGGCACTGTTCTTGTCATATTCGCTTTCTGTTGCTAGCATCGTATCTGGGTCGTTACTTTCTTGTTCTTCACATACTTACTTAGTGCCTGTGTACTTGGCTTTATTCTTTGAATTTTGTCATCTTCTTGACTTTGTTTTTTCTCTTCTTGTTTTTTTTTTTGTTGTATTTCCAGATTCTTGCCTTCGCTTCTGTTTTCTGCATAATCTTAGAACCACGTCCCTTCTTGAAATTGTTGCCGAGATAATAGTAGAGAAGCTCTTCCAACTGACTGCCAATGCTGAACCACCGTCAACCGTTTGAAGTAGATTAGTCCGACGTTCTTACCTTAGTCCCTAGTTCTTAGGGTCTTTATCTTTGTATTTTTGTTTTCTTTGCATATGTCACCTTTTTTGCTTCTGAAAAATGTCTATTGTTGGCCGATGTTAACATTCTTTGCTCCTTGATTATCATTCCTTCTTCCACTGAATTTAATAGCCATGTCGGGTAATTGACTTCTCGGATGGCCCTGGGCTCCAGAAGTTTGTCTACTTCTTCCTCTACTGCTTTGACGTGCATCAACGTTGGCCCTCTTGCTCGTTGGATTACAGTTTTGGCCGACCTATCGACGTTCAATTTGTGGCACGTGACCTCGGGGTCAATGCCAGGTATTTCATAAGGTGTCCAAGCAAATACCTCAATGTTTGCTCTCAAACAAGCTTCCAATTCTTTTTCTTCTTCTTCGGCTAAGCTTGAGAAGAAAGAAGCATTCTTCATCCCCCTCCTGGACGAGGATTTTCTTCAGTGCCTCTTCACTCTTCTCGGCTGGCTCCTTGCTGACATCATCTAGGACCTTTATGTTCTCATTTTCAATCTCTGCCTTCTCTGGTTCTCGAATGCTGCAGGTGGATTTCATTGCTGCCATGGAGCAATTCTCCGCCTGCAGTTGATCCCCTCTAACTTCTTCAATCCCATGCTCTGTTGGGAACCGCAGTAGTTGATGCAATGTTGAGGGAACTGCCCCCATTGTATGCAACCATGGCATTCCCAAGATGATATTGTATGGCGAGGGCGTGTCAATCACCATGAATTCTGTCTTGATCTTCTTCTAACTGCTCTTGCATGATTCTATACTTAGAACATTTTGCATGTCTTTCATACTTTGCCTCCTTTGTGCGATCTTCTCGGGGTTACATACCTCGGGTATAATAGCTACAAAACTTTTACTTCAGCAAGATACTGACCTGCAAACTTTTCATAAGTTTCAACAAGTGTTTAAACGGTGATCTCGGTCTAGCCTACTTGTAAATTGCTACAAATTTCAATAAGGATTAACATAACAAGTGTTAAATAATAATCTATTTGTAAATTGTTACGAATTTCAACAAGTGTTTAAACAACATACTTAGCTTTTTCCTCAACCTGTAAATTGCTGTAAATTTCAACAGATGATCATATGTCAGCTTAACGTTATCTTGTAAATTGCTACAAATTTCAACAAATGAAGAGGAACAGTAATCTTGGCTTAACTTCAACTTGTAAATTGCTACAAATTTCAACAAATGAAGAGGAACAGGTAGATGTATAATAGAGAAGAAGAAATGAGAAAGGAAGAAAATAAATACGGATTGAAATGTAATAGGTGTAAAAAGATAATCAAATCTATTTAATTTTTACCTTAATTTCACACATAGGTAAAATTGAGAAAAAATATATATATAAATATATATATCATTTTCTGTAAGTAGAATTTTCTTTTAATTTTGAGAGCTGTTATTAGCACCTGCTTAAATTCTTTGGACCACACATTTCTTTAAACCCCTACCCTAAATCCTAAATTTCTTTAACATTTCTTTGAACACTCCACTTAATATAAAATTTACTCTGATTCATAATATTATCATACCCAACGGCACACCCACCTAATTTTGCACACCCTCTCTTCTTTTCCTTTTGTTGATCATCAATCTCTTGTTGAAAAGAAGGCCGACAGTCATTGCATCAATAAAATGCCATTGCCTCAGTGAAAAATATTGCATCGACAGTCAATCAATAAAATTTCTATCAACTGTCAATGAAATGAGAAATTGATGCGATGGTGTCCAAAGAATACCATCGGAAAACTCGTCAAAAATTACTGTCTACCATTGTAGAAAACTTGGCAAAAATTCCTTAGGTAAAACCCTCACGAAACACACAATCTGGTATTGAAGATACAAAAATCGAACCATTTGGCACACTAGTATTGATTATCTGCATTACTGTTTAGAATCCATATATTGAACTAAATATTTGTGTTCAGTACTGTATTACCGAACATAATCTTAACATTCGACAAATTAGTATCGAATAGCTTGAACAAAACGAGAACAATTGAAAATGATCGAGAATATTAATGCAAGACAAATAAACTTATTAATGGAATGTCAGTCTCATCAGAATTATTGTCATTGTCCTCTATTGTTTTACAATGTGAAATAACTAATGAAGAGTAATACATTGGACTTGAAAAGAGCTTTTTGGTTCAAGGTTTCTAGTTTAGGAGGGTTTATGATGGTAATGAAGAGGATACATTCATGGTTTAAGATGATTATGAAGAGCAACAAGTTTAAGATTTATGTTGGTTGGTTATGAAAAGTAACAAGTTTAGAATTTAGAAACGTGGAATACGTATAGCTGGAGATAGGGATGAGGGTGTAGGTACATGTATAATACTGTAGAGTGTTAGTTCTTATTTGGTAGGTGAGTGTTCCATTAAATGATATATGTAATGTAATTTTACTTTAAGGTATAATTATAATAAAAAAAATAGAAATTAGAGAGTCCAAAGAATTTAGATATGTGCTAAAATGGAAGCACTCTTTATTTTTTATTATCTCAAAATATTAGTCAAATTTCAAGAATTAAGGATTAAAATAACATAAATTTTCTATTTTATCATTCTTTTAAATTCATTTTTAAAGTGTAATAATTGTACTACCAAAAAATAATTTTAAAAAATAATAAATATTTTTAAAATGTAATAATCATATTACTAAAAGAAATTAAATTTCTTAAAAAAATTAAGGTTGCGTTTGATAGAATTTTAGAATTATGATTTGAGAATAAAGTTATATTTTGAATTTGTGAGTTTTGAAATTATGATTTGAGTGTAGAAAATTTATTTGATTATAAATTTTGAAAAAATTTGAATTAAGTGATATGACATATAATATTGAAAATAACTATTTTAAAAAATGAGTATGAAATTAATTTTCTAAAACTGTAATCAAACAACACACTCAAAATAAAGAAACACGCGTTATAATTTTAAAAATAAACGGTTCTACCTAGGGGTGCAACTCGGGCGGGTTCGGTCGGGTTGGGGGTCTGCCCAAGCCCGACCCGAATTGTATTTGGCACTGCCCAAGCCCGCGCCAAGCCCGACCATGAACCCGAACATTGTTGCCCAAGCCCGGCCCAAACTTTGTATTTTGAACTCGGGTTGCCCGAATTGCCCGAATTGTCCGAATTACCCGAGTTCAGAAACCTGTAGGTAGATCTAAGGGTAGACATAAAAGATGCTAATCTAATGGTAGAAAACTAACCAAAATAAAAAATAAAAAATAAAAATTAAGACTAACTCTTTTACTTAATAAATTTTCTATTTTATCATTCTTTTAAATTCATTTTTAAAGTGTAATAATTGTACTACCAAAAAATAATTTTAAAAAATAATAAATATTTTTAAAATGTAATAATCATATTACTAAAAGAAATTAAATTTCTTTAAAAAATTAAGGTTGCATTTGGTAGAGTTTTAGAATTATGATTTGAGAATAAAGTTGTAATTTGAGTTTGTGAGTTTTGGAATTATGATTTGAGTATAGAAAATTTATTTGGTTATGAATTTTGAAAACAGTTTGAATTGAGTGATGTGACATATGATATTGAAAGTGGGTGTTTTGAAAAGTGAGTATGAAATTAATTTTCTAAAACTGTAACCAAACAACACACTCAGAGGTATAATTAAACTTCAAAAATTCTACCAAACAAAGCCTAATATTTTAAAATAAAGAAACACACGTTATAATTTTAAAAATAAACGGTTCTACCAAATAAAATAAAAAAATTGACCAGCCCCCATTGCGTCACGTATCATAAAGCAGAAGCAACATAATAACCTTTCACATCATCAACCATCACCACCCCAATACATACCCCAGATTTCATTTGATCCAATACTATCTCACATGCATACCTGCCTACCTTCCTTCACGCCCCGCCGCTAATGTTGCTGGGTTTCGTGTTCACGGTCGCCGTCAGCCCACCGCTCTGAGGTGAGTTACAAATTTTTGGTTTTGATTTTGATTTTGATTCGTCGTGATTGATTTTGTTGTTTCTTAAAATGTGCATGTAAATTCAATATTGACCTAATTACCCATAAAAGCTGAGATTTCTCAAAGAGAATGAAAGCAGAGGATCAGAAAGGCAATTGAATGTAGTTTTGAGATTGCAAGAAAATGAAATATGAGCAAAAGTAAAATCAACGACTGTTCGGAACTAGCCTCTGATGAAAGGAAGGAGAAAATTTAAATTTTCTGATTTGTCTTTTTCTGTTTCGAATTCCCTCGATTGCCCGTTTAAATGATGACAGAACTCATCTTCAATATTTATTTGTTTATTTTTGTTAGAATTCTGTGAACCAATTTGAATTGAAGCGTGTTGATTTGGAGTTTTCAAAAATAATTTTTTGAGTTTTAAATTCTTTTTTTTTTTTTTTGGGTACTTTTTTGGGGTTTTTTAAAAATTTTTTAATTAATTTTTATTTTTACTTTTTAGATCCACATAATCTTGGTATAATTAAAAAAAAAATTTATACAATTTTTTTTTTAAAAATTCATTGAATACAATAAAATATGAAAATGTATTGAATTTTTGTATTTTTTTATATTTTTTATATTTGGTGAATTTTTTAATTTTTAATTTTTAATTTTTTTTATAGATTATCCTTTCTAAGTATATCTGTATCTAAAAAAATTGTGTAACATATTAAAAAAATTTAGTAAAAACAAAAAAAAACACAGAATATAAAAACTCAATTTTCTGAAAAATGATTTAAACCAAACAAGCTGTAATGTAAGCTAGAATATATGTTATATTTGATTTTTTGACAGTGTTATTTTTTTTTTTCAACATGTTGTTTGTTATGTTATATTATAGAAAGAACAACTTCATATTTGTCTGCCTTTATTATTATTATTATTATTATTGGGTTGTTGCAACATTGTATTGATGGAGTTGGTTATGTTCTCCTTGAAAGAACTTCTGTATTTTGTTTTTATTATGTATGCTAGAATTTTACAATTTTCACAAAGTAGATTTGAAGATCTTGCATTTTGTATTTTTGATCAAAAGGGCAAATTTTAAAATCCGTGTTATCAAATGCATTTTTTTAAAACTTATCAGAAAGATGATTGTTGTTTACTTTCAATAATTAACGCTTGCTTTTCTAAGGCAAGCAAGAGGCAAGGCGCCTTTCTCTCATGTCTCAATGAATTTAGGCTATTACCTTTGATTCCCCCAAGTCACTGCTTTTCCATGATAAACTTTATTCCTAATATATCCATTCGTAACTAGTAGAGAAGATTGTGTAATTTTTGTCGTTTTTAAATATCTCTTAGTAGTGTAGATTTTGATGTCATGTGTGGAAAACAGATCTATTTATTGTACTTACTTTAGGGAATGGCTGGAGAGTCCAATAATGCCCCGGACATAGGGGAAAGTTTGGATGTGCCAGCTACTGAAAAGAAAGACTCTGAGACTGTTGTAAAGAAGCAGAAAGGAGTAATATCTCGGATTTGGAATCAAATCTTTAGAGTACATGGTGATGATTTTGAAAAGAGACTGCAACACATTTTCAAGGAAGAAGCTGCTGTTCTAGCTAGAATGAAGAAGAGATCTCGACGTTGGAGAAGGATGACCAGGCATGTGATAATATTCTCTGTGATTTTTGAGGTAACCTGTGTTTCCTTATGTCTTTAAATAGGGACTAAGGATTGGTTCTTGCGGGGGATTCAACTGTTGGCTTGCCTCTGCAAAAATGATTATTATTGATAACTTGGCATTTTGCATTGGAAGGGATGATCAGGCATCTGATAATGTAGACATTTAACATATACATTACAACTAACAAAAATATTTTCTACAAACTATGTTTATATATAAATTACATTTGTGTTCCCCTTGGTTCTTCCAACACTGTTCTATGTACTCCTGTCCCAGTCCCAGTCCCACGGGCCCCTGTGCTGAGACTTTGGTTCACAAATGGAAAACAAGAAAAATTTGACTAATTAAATCAAACTAAATCAAACCAAGCCTTGTGTCTCAATCAAGTAGAGTAAGCTACATGAATACCTTTTTTTTTTTCTATTCAGCTCTATCAAGGGCAATATGCTCAATTAAATTAAACAAGCAAAATTTTACTAATTAAATATTTTATACCTACTAAAAACCATATAAAAGCAACATAATATGATCCACGAGCAACTCTTCCAACCATTGTAGATTCACACCCAAACTTTTAGCAGAGTTTCACGTTCATTCTTGAACATAGAAATACTTTTATTCCACCATAAATTCATAATACAATAAGAACTCTTCATCTAAATACTTAGAAAATTGTAGAGAAACTAAAAACTCCCTAAAAATTGCCCCATACAATATAGAAACCATAAAAGACTCAAAATCTAGCTAAACAGGTAGTTTCAAAGCAAGTAAGAGGCTGGATTATAGTTCAAGAATGAACTCCTGATCATCTCATAAAAGAACTCCATCAATAGGAAATTGTTTGAAAATAGAAAACATAGAAATTCCTAAACAGTAAGAATTTCCATAAAATATGACTCTCTACACTCATATAATTTATTAATTCAACAACAGAAATAAGAGACCCACAACAAAGCGGGCATGAAACAGCCTAACGTGTAATATCCTTAAAATTTCCCTGTACTAAACACTAATTCATTGTGAACATGTTCTTTCTCCTTCTTATTGCTTCTGCATCTTTGTCCAACATATTGCAAAATTACCAAATACCACTAACCAACAAAACCTAATAAAAAGTCATTAAATCTGTTCAATAGCATTATTACCTACAAAATATATTTTAAAAAAAGGACTCAAATGATGCTAAACATGATTGTGTAATGTCCAAGGTGTGCTTTACATTAGAGTCTTGATTTGTCCTTTATCTTGTTTACTTGATTTGCATCCTTATGTCTTTTTACCTAGTAAATATAATACCAATATACCCAAAAGATAATTTTCCCTTAAAGTTGTGTAAAAGTAGGCAATTATGTTGTTCTGTATTGGCTTGGGTTTTCAGAAGGTTACTAGTTATATGTAAAAATTCAATTTGGATGAATTAGATACATTTACTTCTCAACGTTTCAAAACTGCCCGAGAGTGCTGAAGTAACCTTAAAATGTATTAATGGCTGAACAATTCCCATGGAGTTTTCCTTTGTACCAAAATGCTTCTTGATTATGTTACACAGACTCTTCAAAATAAATAAAATACTCATGTCGGACACCCAACACTCGGACAAGGGTATGGGATATGTGTCGGCTACTTTTCAACGAACAGCATAACATTGGGAAACAAGCTGATTTCAGTTAAATCTGTTCATAACTAAGAAAAATTCTTTTATTTAAAAAAAAATTATTTAGTAAACCTTTGTATCCCCTTTTTGTTTTTCCAGCACATAAATCTTTGTACCCATCCTTTCTAACCAATCACGACTCATGCTTGTTTCGATTCTCTACAATTTTCCTATTTTCAAATACATTCACATATATATATATATGTTGTATAAATTGTGTGATAACATAAAACAAATAGATTCATACTCGTTAATTGAAATTTTAGAACAAGCAAACCATTCTAAAAATTACAATACATAACAAAATAAAATAACATAAAAAAGCAAACTGAAACATGCACTAGACAATATCCTTAATTTTTTTAAATAAATTAAAAAAATTCTAGATATACATAAAATTTGACAAGAATAATGTGACAATATTAATTAAAGTGTATTTGATTTTGTTGTTGAGCCAAATAAAATAAAATAAGATTGAATGTATATTTAGCTTTGGTTGTGAATCTTAAAAAAAAAAAATAAAAATAACAATAAAAAAAAATAAATAAAAAAGATTGATAATAGTTAGTTTTGGTTGTGAATCTTAAACACACTGACCAAAAAAATGGTTGTAACCTTAAATAAAAATAATAATAAAAAAAAGATTAGAGGTATATTAGAGCTTTGGTTGTGGATTTAAAAAAAAAAAAATAAAAATAAAAAAAGTTTGGTTGTGAACCTGAAATAAATAAATAATTAAATAAAAAGAAAAAAGAGATTGAATGATATTTAGTTTTGTTGTGAATCTTAAAAAAAAAAAAAAAAAAAAAAATAAAAAAAAAAAAAAAAACATATGGGCGAATTAGTGGGTATCCGATCCCAACCCAATCCCCTTGTGGAATATTTAAAGAATATACTACCCTACCTCAATGGATAAGAAAAAAGGGAAAACCATGTATTGTGGGATTGGGTCTCTATATACCCACAGGTAGGTATTACCATTGCCATCCCTAACTAAGATAACAAACATGTTAACTCCGCTTGAAGGAGCTCAACCTTCATCATTTCCCACCGCAAGATGTTATTGGGAGTCCAAAGGCTCAACCCTTGAAAAATGTAAGTTGGGGTCTGATAAGAGTACAAAAAAGAAAAACAAATCATTATTTTTTTTGTATTTTATGTTATTGGATATTTTTAACATATTTTCTAAAAAAATAATTCTGTAATTATTGAAATTGCGTCAAAGAAGGAATTCAATATGTAAAAATGAAATGTGTGTTATTAAACAACAAATTGTATAAGCTACGAGTATGCTAAAATCCAAATGTACAATTCCGACACATTGTATAACTATCAGATAATTAAAATGTTACTCCGACTGGAAATAGAGCTCTGAATTGGCCTCCTTGTGACCAGGGCTCGAATTGGCCCTATCACAAGTTGCTTATTGGTCTCAGTCTACGTCCCTAAATCCAGAGAGACTGGGTTTGGATTGTAACATTGGAAATGAAACCAACCTAACAAGTATCAGAAGCCAAACTTACATGGAAGTGCGACAATTCGATCACTTTAGGTTATTAATCAATCCAAGGTCTAATACAAATTTGAATGGAAACATGGTGATTACACAAAGGAAGAATTTGACAAAACTCGCTGTCCTTAAAGATCTTCCAAGCAAAATGGCCACGTTGCTACAATAGAACACGCTTTCCGTGTGCTCCTGAATTTCACATAGAGGTGGAAGAGTCTTTTTAAAACCATCACTTTTTCCCTCTCCTCCAACGGCTTGTAAAATTCCCAGTCCTCTGTAGAAACACCACGACTTTCTTAGAGCTAGTTGGATGCATAGAACAAAACAATGAATGAAGAACAATACCGCCAACATTAACAAAAATGATTGCTTGAGGAATGTAAATATGCAATGTTCATAGCAAGACATCAAAGGAACATTTCTGGGATGTTGGGGGTATGTTGGGGTGGGGGCAAAAGCCAACAGGTGAGGAAACTTTGAAAACCATGAGTTGATGTGAGGTTCCTCTCCACATGTGAGGGGTTGTCTTGTTTTATTATGATTTTGGTTTTGGGATGAGAAGGTTTGAAAAACAATTTTGTATATGTCAAGGTGTTTGATTCCATGTACATTGAATTTGTTGGTCATAAAATGAATATCTTCAAACAGCCAGAATGGAAAGATGGAAACCAAAAAAAAAAATA